GAATTATGACTTTATTATTCATTCCCATGTGGGATCCTAGAATAAACTTACACTTTCACATCTAATCCTAGTCTTTGATAAACACGCTCATGAGTCATCGACACTGAAATTCTATCAAGGATTATGTGGATGCGCACTGCTGAGGAATCCCATACCAAGACGAAACGGCCGTCCAGTGCTTCCAGGTTTTCAATGGTGGTCTAGCTTCAACCGACTCATGATTTCAATCTGTGATTATGTTGTTTATTAGGTCAGCCAATATTAATTGACCTTTTCGTGATCAATTCTTCTAGATAACACCAGATCAGATCAGATTATTATTATTATTTGTATCACATGATCTTTTATGGTAATACAATACAACATACAGTTTATCGAACGTTATTTCAACTATACAATAATCTAGAAAAGTAATATAGCTCCCTTTAAAATCTGCTATCAGATAATTTAATTATCTTTTATATTGCAGATTTTGCCAACTACTTTTTTTACTATACAGTAACAAGATCACTAGAAATACTTCAAACATCATCCATTTCATTATGACTGAATAAAAACAGGACACTGTGTTAAATATTTCGCAATGAACAGCTTTGAGTTCCACAAATCAAAGGAATTCACAATGATTTGTTCGGATATACATAGAAAATTAGTTCGGTAAATGAGTCTGTATCCTGAATAGTTTAGAAATATGTAGCAATGTAAAAATAGGCTTAAAGAAACGCAAAAGATTACATCTTCATCAAAAATGATTGTCAGTGGAATACTGCAAGAAAGTTTGTCCTTATTATTAAAAAAATAGTGAAAAATGAATCATTCACTAAGTAAATTCATTCAACATCACAGAAAAACGAAACAAAATTTTTTAATTGAGATCATGGACCCATTGATGTTAGACCACCATTGAAAACCCGGGAGTACTGGACGGCCGTTTCATCCTGTTGTGGGATTCTTCAGCAGTGCGCATCCACCATCCCGCTCGCGGGATTTGAACCCAGGGCCTTCAGTCTCGCGAGCGAACACTTAACCTACTGGACCACTGAGCCGGCATCCAATGGTGTTTATGTCTAAGTTCAACCAATTCACGAAGTTGCGCGACCGTCTTTCATTGTACTGAGATAGATACCTGTCTCTGCTCGACACGGATTAGCTCCACTGGTCACGGCTTCCCACTAGAACTCCGAAAATTCCCTCACGAAGCTAGTCACTAGTGAGAACATGATAATTATCAGTATAGGGGTTGTGTAGATTATTAAGTTTTTAATTGAGATCATGAACCGATTGATGTTAGTCCACCATTGAAAACCTGGAGGGCCCTGGGTTCGAACCCCGCGAACGAGATCGTGGATGCGCACTGCTGAGGAGTCCCACAATAGGCCGAAACGGCCATCCAGTGCTTCCACGTTTTTCATGGTAGTCTAACATCAATCGGTTCATGATCTCAATTAAAAATTTAATAATTTCCACAACCTCTATACTAATAGTCACAAAATTACCAATAGTTAAAGAGTATAAAAAATGAAGACATTTAAATCAAAGTTATCAATCCGCTAGGTCATCATCTACCATCGCCTACCAATGATATACAACATTTAAAGAAAATGATTGATCAATTGTTAACTACTTTTAAAAGAGTAACTAAGTTCATATCGTGAGGTAGAAGTTTGTGCTGATGATGTTGTGCAGAAGGACAATGAAAGCTCAATGACCAAACAAAACTCCATCAAAAAGCAAGAAATACTGTCAACCATTTTACCTTTTTCTAGTAAACAACCGCCTACTATTGATGACTAGGTTTCATTCAAGTTAAACAAAAACAAACCCCTCAATCAGAATAGCTATGATTTTGAAATCTCAGAAAATTCTGCTATTTTTGAGTTTTGTTAGGTGACCAAAATTTTAAAGCCAATGAAACACTACGAACATAAAATTCAATGGACATAATTTTATCAGCTGACTTATTTCTCAAACTTATATTCGATTAGGAAGTTTTAACTTGCATTTGATAGAGTAAAAGTCAAGATGAATATTTTAAAAGTTTACCTAAAGTATGACGAACACTTTAAAAATATTCAGCATCTTCATATCTTAAGACTAACGTTTTTTTTGTATGATAATAAGTAAAATACATAGGTGTCCAGTAAACTATTTAAAGTTTTCAAACAACTTCTAGCAGTGTGATGTCATTTCCTAGATATCTAAGAAATATATTTATACTGTACACCATTTTATTCAGTTGAACGTTTCATTTATAAATCATAAATCATTAGTGTCAGTATACATTAGACTATGTAAAATATTCTAACTAAAATAGTGTTTGTACTTGTCAGTTTGAGTGAATATTTATCATTTGAATCAATTGATAATAGTAAAACTTCACGAATGTTTGTTCAGTTTAATAGTTATATTCAACAAATTCGAGGAGATTATCCAACTTGTTTAAAAGTGACATGTTCAGTTGTAATAATTTAGAATTTTATTTATTTGAGTATGTGTAAATCATAAAATTGTCTGTTATAATATTATTTAGGATATAACGGTAATAGCACTCAGAAGAAAATCATGTTCGTATTATCGGACAACAATCGAAGAAAAATATCCTTTCTCTTTGATTGATATGTGTAAGTGTTTCTGAACATTTTATGCGGTTTGTTATGTTTAGGTCATTGTAGTTACCAGAATAATGTTTAGTGTAGTGAGAAGAAAGTTTTTCGACTATAAGCTCTATGTAGTTTGATTTTTATCTAGATCATATCGATATAAAAATGAAATTTAAATGTGATGACTGAAATAGTTAATTAACTTTAGAACCCTTCATGAAGAATGATTTGCTGTTGCTTTATAGGGTATTTTATGTTCCTAAGGATGCTTTGAGTACTCGTCGGTTTGTGGGAAGTGTTTAGAAATTTGATAGAATTTGAATATATTCCATGCAATTATCAGTTTATAGAACCTGTCAAAAGAATTATTGAAAACGAATATGTGTCAAGGTCTTATTCGATACTTACCGATTTTCATTCTGACTTGTTTTCTTGAGCTTATACTATCTCGAGGTTTCATGCAAATCTGAAGAAACTCTATTTTTTATCGAACTTATTAACTTTTAAAGTAAAACTTTTTTCATAACTATCATCCTTTGTTTTCTGTTGGAAGTTTGAGAATTGAAGGTTTCTGTGATTCACGACACTTTTCGAGAAGTTTGTATCTAGGCATTTATGCACTAAAAGTACTAATAAGAATGTGAAAATTCTCGAAACGATTTCAAGAGTAGGATAATTTGACAATGTTATTTTGGAGTTGTTTTGATCTCTGACGTGGATGTATTATTTGTAAAAGAAGCACATGCTGATGATTTTTTTCAGAAGAACAATGAAAGCTGAACGACCAATCCATCCAGCTCAGAGATCGCATAATTCCCATCATCCTCATCCTGATATAAATATTCCCCATGATAATGTAGCACGATCATTCAATTTAGTGAGTTTATGGTAATCCATAAATTGATTGGCGATATAAATAATTTTTTTGCTATTCGGCATGCTTGGCCATATCTTTCATAATCATTATACTGTTAAGAACGGGATATCAAGCTTTCGATTTATCTGCATAAATTGATAATAAATCTACTCTTACATTAAAATTACCAATTTTTATACATTAGCTTTTGAAGATTCTTTGAGTTTCGGGAGTTTTTGCGATCTTCCATGAATTCAGGATCAATTTCTGTCAGTGAACTACATGTAGAACTCTAAAGTCTTGTTCAGAAAGAATCACTATCTTCTCGTCGCCATAATTTACTTTAAATTTTTTTGATTTATGACAATATTATAAATCATACCACATTTCTTATTAATTCATGTTAAACACTTTGAATTAGCTAGCATTATTCATCACTTTGTCTAGTTCTCATTGGTGATTGAAATCTATCAATCACAGTCTCAATATGGTTACAAATGACTTACATACTCAGTTTAGTGATGAATAAGTTGCAAATAGTCGGTAGTAAGTCCATAATATATTTTTAATACTGATTGATATTTATCACGGGTCCTGATCACGGAGTTATTTCACTCATAGTCATAGATGTAGTAATAAAATTTAGAAAACGAACATGTAGATTATTATTTCGAGTCATCCAATACTTAAAATTACATTTTAAACGGCTGTTACTGTCCTTTCCTTAATCAACTTGTTTGAAATCATGGAAAGTAGATTTGTAGTTTTGATGAAACTCGTGACTAACATGAGATATAAAGTTATTATTAGGAAAAAGTAATAACGTAACTGTAAATTAGATACATTTGTTGGTTATAGCAGTTTAATTTGATAATATTTTAAATATCATACATATCAAAATGGGGGTTTGTGGAGATTGTAGTAATTTAATAGTTGAATTCATGGGTTGACTTAATTTAGATCACCATGAAAAACCTGGAAGCGTTGGACGGTCATTTTGTCGTCCTCAGCATGACCACACAAGCGGGATTTGTTAATCAATGTTTCATTTATTCGGATTTCTCTACTGATCACTATGAGTAAAGCACTTAAAACTCAGTCTATTCAGATATAATTCTGATCTATTTTTGTTGAATAATAAATAATCCTTACTCTCTTTCTTATGTCATGTAAATCACAACTTCTTGTTGCAAATATCCGTTTTTCTAGGTTATAAAACTTAAGTTTATCACTGTGTTAATAAGTTTTATCGCAAATATATTAGCATTGTGAACGTTTTTCACAAATTTTAAAGTCTGAAAATGTCGAATCACGTAGCTAATTGACCATGTTAACTAAATCAATTTCAATCAATATTTTTTTAAATTCTCGTGATCGATCTAAACACATGCTTCATAGTAGTGAAATTCGAACTAAAATTATTATTATTTTTGTGTATAACAAAACTTTTATTCTCATTCATTGTTGACATGATTTACTGTATATTTTGCTTTTGTCAATTTCAGCTATATACTCATCAATAATCACTAAGTTTGGATTTATCAATGAATGATAACGTAAATTGTTCAAATTTGGATAATTATTCAATAATACCTGCTATTTTAATTGAAGACTATTGTGATTCACAAGCACTACATGGAAATTCCGGTGAACGAACTCCAATAAGTAGTCATGTTGGATCAATAACAAGTGATGAATTAAGTGTAACAAGTAGTCAAACAAGTCAAAAACAAAAATCACATTTATCTGGTCGTAAATTACGTTTAAGATTACAAGCTTTATTGCGATCAAAAACAGATAAACAACAATTAAAACAACAGTCTAATGAAAAAAATGACAATAATACCAATGAACTGATCACTGGTTCATCTGCATATACAAGTAAACACTTAGGAACTGATGTTTATGATGGTGCAAAATCAATAAATTATGATGCAATACCACCAGTGCCAAAATTTCATGAAACCAGTCCTGAGCACAATTCTGAAAATGTATTTAAATATAGTAATAGGGCTGATGGTCATAATGAAAATGAAGTTGTTGAACATGAAAGGAAGGAAGATGGAGAATCATCAATATCGTTGTCTTATTCTAATAAATATAAGATGAAAAATATTTATCAGACTCAACCAAAACATCATGCTGATCCGTTGTATGAAAAACATCATGTTATTTTAGAAGAAAAAGCACTAATGAATACTGCAAATAACTTTTCTACTGGAGGACATCATGGTCATCATCATCATCATCACCACCACCATCATCATCATAAAACGCGATCAAATAAAAATTCACCATCGAATTCACTAAACGTTTTACAGAATGACAATTCTAATTCCTCTACAAGTAAAAAAACAACTGAGAAAAATAATTCGGTAAGTTTAATTAAGAATAAATATTTTCTTTATTTTTTGTGATTTATTTCTACTGAAATTAGAAAAAAGTTGACATAATTTATTGTATACTGCGTATCAAACAAAATTGTTTCATACAGAAAGAAATGAAGAAACTTATCAGACAGAAACAAGATTGTGAACCAAAGCAACAGAATTACTCTAAGTCAAAGTGGCAACTCACTTTTTTTGTTAAATGGTTTCTGTCAAAATAACTTCGAGATGACTGACTGAAACTTCGGTGGACCAGTGGGTTTCAAATAATTCTAGAGTGAATCAGTCGTCTTCAGTTAAATTGGATAGTCACCACGCTATATCGTGAATTAAATAAAGTTGTGAACCTGAATAACTGGACGTTATGTCAGTAGTTCTAACAAGTAAGGGTTTACAGTGGGATCTGAATGTCCTGGGTTTGATCCATGGAGGAGTCTTGAATGAGGTTTACTGAAGAGACCTAGGACGAAATAGATGTTCGGTGCTTCCTGATCCTCACTGGTATTCTGATTAAGATTAATCATTGACCCAAATCATTTAAGAAGTAAAATGATCCTCACCAAACTACTTCATCTAGGCAATCTTTAATTTATTTTTTGTTAATTTACTTTGAAGATAGGAATGTAATCATTAATGAGAATTAATTTAACGTTTTTTATAGTTTATATATGTACATTAAATGTTAATTTACTAGAATCTGTTTCATGAATTTGACTTACAGTTTGTGTAACGTTTCACTGTATTTGAGACATTTGACGAATTTTGTAAATCATTTAGTTATTGTATAATTTACTCAAATATTACATTTGTGGTCATGATTCAGTCAGTCAGTCAGTAACAACGTAGAACTTCGTACGTACGTATATCAGTTCGAGTTGCCACACCATGATTATTGAAATATTACAATGAGTTTCTAACTTGTTTCAATTATCCTTAAACTCAACTTTGTTGAGGAAATAATTTATTGTTCAAATGTATACTTTTGATGGGGTTTTGTGTTCTTTAGACTCAGAGCACAGACTATCACTAACTAATACTTGACACCTGAATTATTTCTAAGATTTTGTTTGAAATAAAGATTTTTGTATTTGATGGTTTAAATGTTGTTTTCGAATAAGAACGGTATGTTTGAGTGTGAAATAATTTTCAAGTTTACTTGTTAATATTGTCAAACTGTTGGAAAAATTTCTTTCCTAAGTGGATTATTGAACTTTTTATTTTTTATTTGTTAAAAAATAAATTTTACCACAACTGATATGCACAAACATACAATTAATTGGTTTTTTGTCCTTTGAATTAAAAGTGTTCTCTTCATTTAGTGATTAATACTTTGTTTTATAACTCCATAAGTGAATCTTCATTTGAATAAAGTATTTATATAGAAGTAATTTACATAACCAATTAGAATCAAGTGGATGAATATACTGAATGTTACAAAGGAGTGGACATTTTGTTCTTAATTCAGATTCCCATTTTTTAAATCACTGACTGATCGTAAATTAGACAAATATTGAAAAGCAGGTAGCAACGGACAGCTATTTTGTTCTTTTTATGTGTCATCTACAACATAGGGAATCGAACCCAGTCATTTCAGGTCTCGATTTGAATGCTTAACCTTTATACCATTGACCAACTCTTAGTGGTGAATATATCGACTTTCATTCACTCACGATTTTATCCGGTCATCTTAAATTGTTGATAATTTTCAAAATTAGATAAGGTTAAATTCCAAAGTTTACGCCTTTTCATCAGAATGGCCTTTCGAAATTTTCCACCAGAGAGCTCATGATTAATAATGGTATAATGGTGTTTATGAGGATTGTAGAATAAACTATAGAAATTCCATAATCACAAATCGCTTTATCCCAAGTTAAATTAATTAGCATGTTTAGTTAATCTGATCTGTTTTCCAATAAAATGATGTATATTCTACGAAGACCTACTACTAATTCAGTTGTTTATAATGTCATAGAATGATTAAGTTAAAATATTTTATAAAATTTATGTACAAATTGAATTTATCTTTTGAAAAACCCACATAGGAATTGTCATATTTATTAGGATTAAAATGTGTAGGAATGATATAGTACTTTATTTATTTAGTAATAATACAGTTTTATTTGAGGTTTACCGTAGACAATATGATTTCCTCTTCATTACTTTAAAATAAAAAAGGGAGTTTTATGGAATGTTGAACTCTGTGATTAGCAGTATGGTCCAGGTTGGATGTTTCATCTCACCTAGGACCTATCATACGGAGCATGACTTCTTACAACTAAAAATATGAGAGTTCTTCTGAATTTTAAAAATTTTAATGATCATTTTTTTATTCAACTTCTTAATGAATAAATACCTAGACCCATGTTCTTCGATGAGTTGATCTTAATAGTAAATTAATATACGGCATTTGTTTTTAATGCAAGTTTAAGTTTATAATAAATCAAAGTCAATATCAGTAGCTTAAAACAATATGGTCAAGTTATGTATTTTCATGTCAATATTCTTCCTTATAATCGTTAACTTCAGTCCTTTTTAAATTATATCTTCCCTACTCATTTAAATGTTAGATTTTCATTGTTTCTAGAAGTTTCTGTTCGTAAATCTGGGAAATTCAGAGTTCATTTGTCATGTTACATAGATAACGAATTCATAGTAATTTGTACAAAACAGTTTTATCGTTTTATTAAGTTATTGTAATTGTGAACTGTAAATGTCATAAATCTATTACAACTTGTGGCCTTATGCTCTATTAATATATGACGCAATGATTTCACCAATTAGTGAGTAGTGACTTATCGACTGGATTAATGACGCGTAAACCCATACGAGCTATCTAGAGTCCTTATCGGTTCTTTTTCCTGCCTAGCCCTGACTGTTAAGTCTAGAACGACAATCTCAGCCTTCGCGATATGAATCATGTATTCCAAACATACTGGGTTTATATACAAACCGAACAGACCACATCGTAGCATAAAATGGAAAATAACATCTGCACAAGATTAAGGCGACAGTGGCTGTGAATGCGAGAGACTGTAATTAATAGACTGAACATAACTCAAGAACGATAAATTGCATAATAACAGTCTGTGGGTCAAAATAAAGCTCGTAATAAGTGGAGTGTAGATATATTCGATCTAGCTACTGAATAGTTATACATTAAGAATATATGTATAATATTTATTCATAGATAGTTCTGAAGAGTTACCTTTCTTAATCCCCCCCGGGATATAACAAAATCATGGTAGCTTGCCATCACACAAGCTTGTGTACGTTCAAATTAATTAAAACCTTGACGTAACCTATTCGATAGATAATGTGTTATTTCGGTATAATTTGTCTATCATTTTATAGGGATCTTTATTTTTGTATAATTGAGTACATCTCATTGAATGCAAGCTTCAACCGAAACAATTATTTTTCTTACTCTCTAAAGTACGAATTGCTTAAACGTTTTACGACTCATTCGAGTACACATATCTATCTTTGAGCCTAAGGATTAGGTTATACGACATTCATTTTTATTCAGTCATTGATCAGTACTAGAAACTCAGTGTTGCCTTTTGCATAACTCATTGATAATATCCATATTTGTAGCATTCAATGAAACTGATCCAAAATAATGAACAAGCACTATAATTCCAATTATTATTTACTTGATGGATTTTAACATCAACAATTACCAATTAATTTTCGACAAGTTAAATAATTCTTAGATGGAGTTCTCTAAGTGATGTAAATATCAAGAAAGATTATTCTTAAACATTGAAATAACTTTATTATAATGAATATGATTTTTTATGAACAAGAAAAATTATAAGCAAAACTAGATAGTGGCTAGCAATAGAATCCAAGACGCATGTTTTGTCCTATTTAGAACTCGTCAGCTGGATGTACTTACATCTCAAAACTCATAGGATGCACATATACCAATATAAAACTGATCGATTACAGTCCTAAACAATGGGAAGATACAAGTTTGCTAGATTTTAAACTATCACGAGTTCACTTAATCTGCGAACGAGAACAAAGAGACCCAGTGACCAAAGACCAGTAAGTTAGCCTTTTGATGCGTTCCAGCCCCTCTAACTAGAGAGAGAAGTCCAAGCTTAGAATGGGAAGTATATTCTGCAAAACAGCTAGAAACGAGCGATAACAACAAACACAATTCAAAACGTATATATATATATATATAGTGCAAAACCGTCTTTGGGGAGAGTTATCAAATAGCATACTAAAAGACGCAACAAAACAATAGCATTTAAGATATTTCCCAGTGGGAAATACGACATGAAGGTGACAAGAGCACCTTTGGCGAGAAAACAAAGAAACTTAAATTTTCTAAATAAAATTACAAAATCAAGTCCTTCTTCAAGTGAGTTCTGGGGATCGAGCGTCTCCAACAAAATTAAAGAACATCAAGTGAATTCATAAAAAAAATTATAGTTTGTAAATTTGCAATGCAAATTATACATAAACAATTGTATTAAAAGTAATGTATGTATATGACCTTAAATAGATAAGATTGATCATGATAATGATGGGTAACTAACATAAATAGAAAGGAGAAAATTTTTTAACTTAATTTATATCTTTCCATGATACAGTTTTTTTTTCTGTTTTTTTTTTAAAAATTTAATGTGAAATGTTTACTTATTTATTGATTTTAAAATGGAATCATGTTTCTTTTTCTATTTCTCACATTAAAATTTATTTTATTTTTTGTACTTTTTCTTTCCACTATTTAACCTCAATGTAATTTGATTTTGTTGTTAATTGAAATTTGAATAGAAACAAATGAAAAAAAAAAATTTATTTTTTAATTAACATGTTTATTTAATTTTGTTAAGATAAAACTGGTGAAATTAATTTTCTCAAGATTTACTTATCTGAATAAATCATTTATTGAATAAATTGTATATATATACCATGATAATTTATTTTTTTTTTACCTCAGATTGATGGTTCCATAACCAGCTATGTAATTTATC